CGATTCATCTGCTTAAGCACAGCGGCTTCTGTTTATTTCGCACTTTCATGTCAAACGAATTTGAAAAGAGGAAAAAAGTGACAGGCAGTTTAGGGATATAAGTCACATTTCAGCTTCAGTTCAGATTAATGAACTTGCTGGAAGCCAGCGAGGACACAGGCAGATCCACAAATCTTAGAACAACAAAAAAATTAAATCCTCGCTCAATGTGAGGCTCAGCCCTTGGGCACCGCTCCTCAGATCCTCTGCTGACCTGCTGCCCCGGCACCCCAGAACCCTGGGCCTACAGGGAGGCCCTCTGAGCCCCTGGGCTGGTGCCAGGCCTGGCTCCAGGATGACAGTGGTGTGGAGTCCTGGGGCTGGCTGTGGTCCACCTTCAGGACCCACCATGGCAGGGCAGCCTGTGCAGGGCACTCCCAGGGGCACTGGGCCTGAGCAGCAGCCCAGTCCTGTCTACTTCCCCAGGCACAAGATGGGCACCATGTTCAGCAGAGCAGCCTGATCCTACATCACAGCCCCTGGGGCTAGATGGCACTCAGCCAGCAGGGGCCCTACCAGCAGCTGCCCCTGTGCCCAGGCAGCACCACACCAGGTGTCTGCAGGCCAGGGCAATGTGGCCACTGCCAACAGTACAGAGATTGCGCCATGGATGCTGCCCTTCGAGGGCAAGAGTCCTATCCTGCCTGTTGCCCACCGTGCTGCCCTCTCTCCTGAAAGGGGCTGCTGCCCTCCCACCCTCCATCCCTGCTCACCTGGCCAGGGCAGCAGGTGGCCTTGTCCAGCCTGTGGCCTCAATGGCCACGGTCCTCAGAGACCGTGGCTGGCACCCAAAAGACCCGAGAGCCACTGCTCAAAGGCCTCCAGCCTTCTGTGTGGGCAAGGACGAGTGCTGGCTGGCCAAGAGAGCCTGAGGCCACTGGCTGACTTCCAGCTGACTCTCCCCACCCATATCCTCCACATCCAGGCCCAGAGAGAGCTTGTGACAGGCAGGAGACACAGGGTCCCCGAACAAAAATGAAGCTGTCAACAGGGCCCTGATGCCTTCCAGCTTCCCACACAGGCCAAGCCTGACCACTGGCTGAGGGTGAGTTTCCACTTAACTCAGGAGAGAGAAAGAAAGCAAAGTCACCGCTGGGGGCAGAAGCATGGCTCAGGGACAATGGCTGCAGCCATGGCCACACTGTGGCCATCTTAGGCCCTGGTACTGTCTATGGGCTGGAGAAAAGGAGTTTCTGGAGCAAGTTTCTGGAGCTTCCCAGAAACGGGAACAGGCCTAATCACCCTGTACTCTCCCCTCTCCCCAGAACAGATGCCAGTGCCAACAAGTCAGGGCACCAGGGACCTCCGGCCTCCCCATCAGAGCAGCGAGGAGCCACAGCAGGGTCCTGGGGCAATGGATGGTTGGTCAGGAGCAGAGCCTCCTCCCAGCCCCTCTGGATTGTGAAGGCCCAGCCATATGCCGCATGTGCATTGAAAGGGCAGAGGAGCCATGCCTCACCCAGCTCAGGGAGACAGCGGGCAGATGCCTGTGCGCCGCTGGCAGGAGGGGGACAGTACCTGGAAGTGACCAAGGCAGGGAGTGGGGAGGGGGCTGCAGGAGGAAGGCCCTGGGCAAGGGCCAGGGCTGAGTCAGCAGCAGAAGGGGGCTCTCCTGGAGGCCCCTGCCTAGGTCTCAGGCACCAGACTGGTCCCTGTTTCTCGTCCCCACTCCTCTCAGTACAGGGCTGGCAGGCGCCCTGCCCTCCTCATTCTTTGCAAGTGCAGGCCCCTTGAGGTGCAGCCCCATCCTGCACCCCCCTCCAGCATCGAGCCTGCAGACCCTACCCATACCCCCAGCATCAAGAGGGCAGGGTTGTGCCCTGGCAGCTAGCTCTCAGGTGCGGCCATGCTGAGCCCAGCCCCGAGCACACCACACTCAGGATGCTCCAGGCAGTCGGGAAGCCCACCCAGACCCCCAGGGCCTCCCCCCAACACTCAGAGCTGCCTGAGTCTCCCTGCCCACTGCCCCCTCCCAGGCCTCTGCCCACAGCTCCCTCTGCCTCAGACCTACTTTCTCTGCTCCCAGTGCAGCGGCTGTTTGCTTCGGCCCATCTCCCCATGGAGTGGGGGCTTTGCGTGGAGCAGGCCCAGCACCACCCTTGGAAGGAACAGATTCTGCTTCAAGGACAGATCGAGAGGCCAAGGTTCTGAGTGGGAAGAGGCCTGTCAGGGTCACCCAGCCTGCTGGGGCTTCCCCGGGATGGCAGCCCTCCATACCCAAACACAACTCCTTCTGTGAGGTGACCAAATCTATAGTCACAGTGAGGGTGGCTGCAAAGGCTGGGCGAGGGGCACCCCATGCCAACACTTGGCTGCTGGGTCCCCCCACCTCACTTCCCGGGTGGGTCCCTCAGCCCCCACCTCTGCCCACTGAGACGTCAAGGACTGCTGGGGCCTGCCTGCCAGTCCCTCCCAGGGCCTCTTCCCTCCCAGGCAGGGGACAGAGCTGGGGACCCAGGGAGAGGCCTAGGTCCCAGGCTCAGGCCAGCCACCTGGCAAGACAGCCTGTCCAACTCCTCCCTCTGCCTAGGGAGAGCTGGGGAGCCTGAGGGCCAGGCCGCGGCCAGTGAGCCTGCCAGCCACACGCGGGCACCCCCGGCTCTGATGGAGCCCCACAGGCGTCACGTAGGCAGGCACCAGGTCAGACGCTGACCCGGGAGACTGGCCCTTTCTGCTGCCTCAACAAGCCTGAGTGTGTGCAGCAGAATAGTGGGCTGGGCAGCTGGCTGGCAGCTACTCTGCTGAGAAGGCAGCCATGCAGGGCATGGGTAACCTTGGGCAAGGGAGGTCTAACCACTGGCACCACTCTTCCCAGGGCCTCCTAAATCCAGTGCCCCTCAGCTCAGCACCCTCCTTTCCCCCACCTCCACCTCCCATCCCCAAGCCCACAGGTCAAGCCCTCAAGGGTCCTGGCTGAGCCTAGAAAGGACTAGGCTGAGGTGGTCAGGAAACAGAAGGGGTCACACACCCCTTGGTTACCACGTCCATCCTGGAGTGGGCTTGGCCTCCATACGCAGGGAGGGTGCCTAGCCTGGGGCCCATGGCCACCAAGCAAAGCCAGGACCCTCAGGGTTGGCTGAATTACAGCTCCTGTCAAGGGGCAGTGCCCTCCCCACCTGCTGCCCACCCATGCTTGTGGTCTGGCCCTGTGTTAGGGCTGCTCCCTGCAGGGCGGGGGCCCAGGCTCTAACCTTGAGGGGCAGGAAACATGGAAGGAACAGCACAGCCAATCTGGCTGTACTCACCCACTTGGCATCGACAGGATGCCACTCCACATGCTGGCTGAAGGTGCAAGGTGGCTGCTGCCTCAGGCCTCGGGGCTGCCCCAGGCCACCACCCTGCTCTAGGAGTCCTCGCCCCAGGGCCTGGGTACCCGCTTCTGCACAGTGACCCCATCAGAGACCCCTGACGGCCCAGCCACACGACCCAACCCAGCTGGACCCACATCTGGGACCTCCTTGGCCCTCGGAACCCAAAGGGAGAGGGCCTGCTGGGCACAACCCTGAGAAGAGCGTCCCCAGACCCAGCCATGCCCTGGGAGTGGGGCCTCAACGTGGGGGAGCACCCACCCAGTCGGGGAGCAGGGCGGAGAATCAATAAATCTGCGCCTCATTCACGATGATCTGGGGCTCTTATTAAGTAAATTAATTTAAGTTAATTTAGCTCGATCACGACTCCCAACCACAGTGATTTAGTGAGGGGGAAATTGCATTAGGAAAGGCCATGTTCACCAGATAGAGCAACGGAAGAAAATTAGATCCACTTAGCACTGTGAATTAATATGGAAATAGCAGGTATAAATTTAACCTTATCGAGAGAATAAAAATTATCTTCATAAATTTGTAGAAATAGCCCCCAAGATGCTTATAAATCTATTTAAAACAAAAATATTACAAAAAGTGCAGTAAAATTAATTTAAAATATACTTCCAGCTATTGCCTCTAGTAAAGTTGGCAGCAGGGCCGTGCTTGGAGCAGCCTAGCAGTAAGGGAGGAGGGCAGAGGCCCGGACAACTGTCTGGCTTACCTGCCACAGGCCCCAGAGCCAGAGGGTCCCGGGGGTTAGTCTCGGGCATGGAAACCTCTGGGCAACAGCAGGGACCCACTGGGCAACTGGACTGTGGATGCTCTGCCCTGCGGCCCTGACCTAGCCTCTAACCATTCCCAGCAGGCAGGCAACCATGGTAGGGCCAGGGGACAGAGGAAAGGGGTGTGCCACTACCTGCTTCCTATTTGCCCCCATCCCAGCCTAGAGACAGGAGACCCCCACCTCAGCAAAGGAAGGACCGTGCCGCTCACAGCCCAGCCTCCTGAGATCAGAGGCTAAGCAACCTCAACTCAGCAGGTGGCAAGGGGCCCTCAGAGAGACCCCCAGAAAGACAGGTATAGGCTGCTCCCACAGATAGAGCTGCCCCTACCTTGCCTGCTCTCAGGCACACCAGGCTGGAGCAAGGCCAGAGCGTGGTGCAGGCCAGCCCACGGGTAGGTGACAGGGAAGGGTGAGGAGGAGCCCTCCTCACTGCCCTTGACAATCAACACATTGACAGCTCCCAGGCAGGCTGCTCAGGGCTCAGCCTCTCTCCCCAGAAGTGTCTCCCTGCAAGACACCTAGGGGCAGCTTCCCAGGGGCAGCTCATCATGTCTGGGTGGTGGCTGTTTCCACAGCTCGTGAGGACCCAGCAGCTAACGGGCTTGCTAATAACTGCAGAGGACATGTGTGCACATGAGTGTGGCATGTGTGTATGCCTTCGTGTGCATATGGTACACATAGGCTGGCTGTATATCTGGTATAGAAATTGCTAAACAAACAGCAAAATTAGGCCGTTCCCCAGCCAATGAGCTGTACACCAAGTAGTTCCCAGGCGAGCACAGTTCCCAAAGCTCACAGGCTCCAACCTATAGCCCTCGGTACCCAGCAGCCCAGTCCCCAGGCCCATGGGAACCTGGACAACGTCCTCCTACCTGGACAGTGAGAGCCGCCGGGCCCGCCAGGAGGGCAGAGACAGGGGGAAGGGTGGGGTGCTGAGAGAAGCCGGGGTCTTCTTGACAATGCGATAGCGGGTCTTGATCACTTTGCCGGTGGGTGGAGTCCGCAGGGTATATAGGCTGGACGCTGCAGAGAAAACCCAGGGCACAGGCAGAGGTCAGCAAAGGTGGGCCAGGCCAGGGGCAGAGAGGCCACAGGGACAAAGGTTGCCCTCGAAACTGCCCACCCCACCACCCACTCTGAGGCTGGAGGACTCTTCACCAACCTGGGATCCAGCCCCCACCCCACTTGGCACACTAATGTGCCAGGGCGCCTGGCAGCTGAGACTTCAAGAGCTGGCTGGTGAGTTCTCCAGAGAGGTGGGCACAGGCCCTGCATGTCCTCACAGCCGTGCTGCGCAGCAGGGGACCAGGGATGCTGCGTGACTGCCCACAAGGGAAGCAGGCTCCAAGCCAGCCAGGTCCCAGCTGATGGGCTGTGGCAAGCATAACACAGGAACTACACAGCATACACACAGTTCCGCTCACACTCCCAGGAGTTACTGCCCTGCGCCCCCCAACACATGGGGTCTGGAAAGCTCTCCTCCTTCTCTGGGGTGCCTCCCCACCGCCATGCCCAGATAGATTTATATACTTAATCACTCTGTTTTCGTAACATTTTGCAGGGCGATATATACAACAGTGCTTTTTTTGCTGAACGTTTCATGCAATTAACAGGGATCTGTTTTGCCTGAGTTCCCTTCTACTTGATAGCCGGCAATTTCTCCATAGCTTCAAGGAACGCATCTAATTGCCCGACTTCATAATGTACAGCTCTAACTGCCCAGATAATTAAAGCTAACACAGCACTGGACGCAGGCACCCGCCCCTCATGGCTGCACCCCTCAAGGCCATGGGCACAGGGCCCCAAACAGGAGGCCCCCAGCCCAACCCCACCAAGTGGCCTCGGTGCCCTTCCAGGCTGTGCCCAGCTTCCCCCCAACCCAGGACCCCTGCCTGCCCCTAGACCCCAGGAGGCACCCTGCTGAGTAACCAAAGCCCCACAGCCCCCTGCTCCCTGTACAGGACTGGCAACTGTTACTGCTCCTGAAAGTGCTCTTCCAGACCCCTAAACCCAACAGACCTCTCACAGCCAAGGCCCCTCCTGAGGCTGTGCCTTGGCCGACTTCTCTGTAGCCTTGCCCAGCCTGCTGGAAACACGCTAAGGAGCCACTGCAGAGACCTCAGGGAGGCCAACTGCACCTCTAATCCAGAGGTCAGCAAATAGCCCTTCCCTCAGGTGTCCCTCCACTCACAGCTGGAGCTGCAGCCTCCACCAGGGCACCCATCAGCCCACATGTGCGCGGGTCAGGGGCACCTGGACCCAACACGGGGTCAGAGCCCTCCCAAGAGGCCCCCAGAGTCCACACCAGAGGGGGTGCCCTGCTGCTGGCCCTCAACAGTGTGCAGGCTGCATGAGCGCAGCCTGGGTCAGGGTGGATAGTGGGGCCAGAAGCCCCTGGGAGTGGTGAGCACGAGGGCTACCTCCAGTCCCTGGGACTGAAGGCAGGGACCTGCAGCAGCTGCCTATGAGGGGAGGCCACAGCAACACCCAGGTGAGGCCAGGACCACCCCAGCTAGTTCCCTATACCTTCCAGCACCCCCAAGCACCTGTCCCCTCCCTGTCTCTCTTGGAGCCTCTGAGGGCAGCAGCTTAGGAGGGCTGAAGAGAATACAGGAGCTCAGGGAACCAGGTGTGAAGTCCCCTGATCCCTGCTGAGTAACCAAAGTAAACGGGTCTTGCACTCTGAGCACCCCACCCAACATGCCTGGAACCCAGGGCAGAGCCTGGCATATGGTGGGCGTTAATAAATAAATATTGAAGTGAATTTTTAAGGTCTTATAAGTGAGGAGAGACCAACAAAAACCAAAAATAGCTTGTTTCAACACAGGAATGCCTTATCAATAACTCCGAGCTGACCTCATGGCCTCCAAGTCCAGCTCCCTGTTTGTGCCTAAGGAGAGCACCAGCCACCGGCCTGCTCCCGTCTACCTCAGAAGTGCGTCTGGACAGTCAGGGTACCCACCAGAATATGGCCTCAGTGCCAGGACTTGGGCTGCCACGTGCCCACCCCAGCCCAGAACACCAGGTGACACAGAGGCTTTGGCTGGCTCACTTCTGGCCCCATCACACTCCAGCCCCTCCTTCCCATCTGTCAGTGAGTATCAGTATTAACACATTAAGTCAAATCTCTTCATTAAGTTACTACCTTTTACCTATTAGTGCCCAATTATCACTCCTGATCACACAACATAACAAAGCAAATGCCCTTTTAAAAGGCTGGCTCTCCTCATTGTCCACTCCGGCGGGTGGGCACTTCCTGCGTCCAGCACTTCAACAGCTTCCCCCCACTCCCCATGGTCCCTGGGGGGAAGGAGGCTCTTCGAGGGGCTCATAGAGGGGAGGGCGTGGTGAGCACCCAAACCAGGCTCCAGCTCAAGTCCTGCCCCCATGGTGGGGCTGTGCCCCCCACAGCCTGGCCCCACAGGCCACTCACAGTCCCTGACTTTCCTGGGTGGGCAGTTCGGATGCACTCAGGACCACACCTGGATTGGCAGGCACACAGCTGAACAGACAGGTGGTGGGGGACACATTCTGGGCTGGGTCCCTAATGATGGGCAAGAGTGAGGGCTCCTAAGACTGCCTGGCACACAGAGACCCAAAAAGTCAGGGTGTGAGAAGAAGGGTCCCTGCTCCCCAGTGTGTGCAAGGATGGGGAGGGCAGCGGCTGCAGGACGCTGCTCTGTGGCCAACCTCAAGGGCCCGCCCTCCTCCCCGAGGACACAGGCCTCGACGCCCACTCCTCCTTGCTGGCTGAGGGGTTTTGTGTAGATAATCATGTTATTTAGATAGGATGTTGGTTTAATTCCCTTCATTACAGACTCCCAGGGTTGTAATTTTTTTTCTCTGCATGATGTATTCCCCATGGCACGCTTCACTCAAATCAAACCCCTCGCGCCTTTATTGCCAGCGATGCCCCGGCCGTGTTATCAGCCCCACACACACACCCTCTCCGCCCGCCATCCAGAGGTCACTTCTAATGACTAATCGATCTCATTAGCTTTCCTAATTAAAAACTTTACTACCGCAATGGAAGACAAACTACAAAAAACTGCTGGCATCATATGTGAATGGGCTATGAGCCCATCCATCAGCACGGCTGGAGCTCCTGCTCAGAGCCCACACCCTCAGCCACCCCCAGAGCCCTGCCATGTACTGAGTACCACATCCCCCAGCATACAGTGGGGAGGACAGCCACGAGGCCAGAGAGGCCGGGCCCAGCAGCCCCCACCACAGCAGGAGCTGCTCTGCCTGCAGAGCCTGGCTCACCCTGATTTCCCTTCATCGGACGATTCCACCACAGATGGCAGAACCGATCAGGCAGAGGTCACAGCTCTCACTCTGTTTTATTGCGGAGCAGGAGTTGAGAGAGAGTTCAGATTTTTATGGAACTTCAAAGGGAAATAACTAGGAAGAAAATGAGTTGCTAATTTCACAATTGGTTAATGAGTAAGAAGATGAAACTAGAACTACTACTTTGTACAAAGAACTGCCTGCGGCTGCCAACCAGGAAAGAAAAGGCTGCTCCTGCCATTCCACCATCCAGCCCGGTGGGGCTCAGGTGAGTGTCCTCGGCAGCCGTCTAGCTGTCTGTCCAGCTCTCAGCTCCACCAGAGAAGTCCTGGAGAACATACTGAAGGAGGCCTTGCCCCATAATCAGGGACAGAGTCCCAGAGGCCTCTGACCCTGTCCCAGGCCCAATTATCCAGCCCACCAGCCCACCAGCCCCCAGCCTTACTGGCAGTGGGCTACAGAGACAGGCAGACAGAGAGCAGCAAGCCTCCAGGCTGAGGCACAGCACAAAGACGGCAAAACCTCCCAGCTGGGCTCTGGCCCCTGGGAACGTATTCCGGTTCTAGAAGCCCTTTACCTGCACTTCCTTGGGCCCTTCACCCCAGCTGGTGGTTGGGGACAGCTAGGCAGGAGGCCAGAGACTGGCACCTGAGCATGGAATTTGCCAGAATCAGCTATAAAAGACATCCATGCCAGTGGAACAGGATGGGGCAAGGCTGTATGAAGGGAGAATACAATCTGCCTGACAAACACCCTAGAAACCAAGCCAAGTTCCTGACAGGAGAGGCCCAAGGGAGTGGCCCTGCCCACAAGACAGGTCTGGGACACCCCCAGAATGCATGCAAGGGGAGCAGGCAGAGGTGCCTCAGGCTGCTGCAGTGTTGCGGCAGGTGTGGCCAGCCTTGGGGGAACCAGCTGTGGGCCAGCTGCAGACTGTGGGCATTCTATCCAGGTTTTCCGTTCCTAATGCGGCATGATTTGACTTTCTCCATATATTGCCTAATCTGCTTTTTATCAACAGCTGCCCTGACATTTCTTTGATATGTTCAAACTGTCCGTGCCTTTCACTGGCTGAAGATGGCCCAAGGCCAGTGTGGCCTGGCACTTTCGGAAGCCACACACATCTCTGCTTCTCTGCCCTGTGGATCAGCCTCCTCTCCCAGCACCTGCTCCCCAGCACCTGCCTCCCTCAGGCCTCCTATGCCCCAACACTGGCAGGCATAGGTGCCCCTACCTCAGAGCACCCTGGGGACACTCCCACCTCAGGCTCTGCTACAGGCAGCCCCTGGCCAGCTCACAGAGCCCCCAACTAAAGGCAGCTTTTACACATCCAAACTCACTTTTCTAGTGTCAGTGCTTTTAAAGGTCTTTTTTCCCCCCAGTCTCACTGCATTTTTTTGAGGAGATCCCAACTCTGTACTAGCCCAGGTCTCTGGTGCTGGAGCCCACAGCACTGGGAAGGACTGTCCTGAGCACAGGGCCGGGAGGGGGATGGGCAGTGGGCTCTGGCCTGGCCCCTCCACTGGCACAGATAGGTGATAGTACCTCCCAGCAGGGCTGCTGGGCCCCGTTAGGCAAAGTGGACACAGCCTGGAGGGAGGGCAGGAAGCCCTGTGCAAGTCCACCTTGGTCCACTGGGAAGGGTGCTGGCTCCCTCCCCCCTCCTCCCACCCACCTGGCTGCTGACCTCACTGGCAAGGCGTCCTCCATCCTACTACCCTACTGCCAGCTCC